CGGGATTGCGGTACACGGCCGATATTCGCGTCGAGCCGAGTCGATGACAGACGGATGCCATTTGTTTCAGGGAAGTGCTCGGTGTCCTGGTCGACTCACTTGCTGGTAGGCTCGGTGGCGTTGCTGATGCTGTGCTTCGGTCTGAGTTTCTGCGCGGCCCGACACAAGCCCTCGAACCCGCACACGGATCCCCTGCGCATTTGACAATCGAGATACTCCCAGTCGATTCACGCCTACGCCTCGCCGAAGACGACCACGCTCTCCATCGTCACGGTCTGTTGATCGTGCCTGGCGCTGTTGCGGCGCCTGGGTGTGCCGTGCGTGTGCGTGAGTATGCGAGAACGCGTATGCCCGGCATCGTCGTCGTCCATCCACGTCGCCCGTCGCCGCCGCGAGACCAGATATATTGCGCGTGTCATCGCACACGTGAGCGATCCTTCGCACGTGTTAGTGAAGTGACGGTACTGATAATGGTAGGGCGTGCGCGATATCGCGCGTGAAACGCTCTCGCGCTCATCACGCGTGTTACATACATTTTTCCGAACCGGCCGCGTATTTTCTCGCGCGATTTTCCGACGGTTCGACGCGCGGTTTAGCGCGTGGCCGGCGACGTGTGCGCGCGCGAGCTGACGTTGACGGGCCTCGCGATTACGGCGCGGGCTGGACGCGAGGAAGAACCGGAAAAGCGCAGTAACCGTGTCGCGATCGGCGATCAGCTGATCGACAGACGGAACGACCGATGATTCGAGAGTGCAGAGTCGACGGGGGGTGGGTACGAGTCGAACGCTCGCGGAGGAGCTCACCTTCCGATCTCTCTCTCGCGCGTGTCGTGTCCTCGAGTGTGCTTGGAAGCGCGCCACCCGGAGAATTTTGCAGATCCTCGCGGGTAATTGTTCCACGCGTTCTTTCCCACACGTTCTCGAAACTGCGAGATTTCCTTCGAGATGCGATTCTTTCGATTGACACGTGAATAATAACCGAGATATCTTCTCATAATGAATGAACGGACTCGCGACAGCCGAGCCAACGTGGACCGCGGAAACCGCTCGTTTCTCGGTGCGGCCGCTAATCAATCTTTAACCGGAAACTACGCGCGTACCTCGAGTAGATTGATGAAACTTTCGACGAATTAACGCATATCTACCTCCTCGAGGCAAATCCAGCGTCTCTGTACATACATACGCGCGACCTGTCATGTACGTATGTACATATACACACACATATATATGTATATTTATATTTATATATATGAGCCGTTTATTTTGAAAGTGACCTAAGTCCATTTATATTTAAATTGAGATATTTAAGAGTTTGCGTTTCAATAAAATTAAAAATATACGTCTAGGATACCAATGTGTCATACTGCTTAAGTGTATCTAAGAGAATTAAATTTAGAATTCCTATTAAAATAATAGTAATTATTAAATGAATAATATGTGTTTTCTACCACAAATGGAGTTAAGCCACTTTCAAAATTAACAACTAGATTTGTTATAAAATTTGAAAGAGCCCAAGTCCATTCGACATAATTTAAAATGTTTCAAATTGAAAAGACAATATTCAATTTGTTTTATTTTTCTTTACAACACTTCAGAAACACAATTTATGCAACTCGGGAAATCTTCTAACTATATAAATTACATAACAATTTACTGCTCACCTACATTTTGTGTATGTGGGAGGAATTTGGAGAAGTCATGGTGCTCCGGTGGTATATACCGTAGTAAGTCCTTGTATTTCGCTGTTGTAATTCGCCTTTTATTTTTATAAAGTGGTGTCAATACAATATTTTCGAATTTTCTTGGTCTATTCCGACGTGGTAAAAAATCCAGGATTTTAAACTCTGCATTCTGCATCCATTGATACCTTATAGAAAATTTTATATGGTTCATTTCTGAAAAAAAAACTCATCCAGCATATTTTTAACCAATTTATTGTTTCTCCGTTAGAATTTTTTACCCTTTTAAAAACTGCTCTAAAAATCTTGTTGATATGAAGTCCTCTTGTTTCACTTCATCTAGAATAAAGTTATTATCTTTCCGGCACTTTTTGATAACATTATGATAATCGTGGGGGAGAAACAGTAAATTATTTTTCTTTAATGACATTTCTACGACGCACTTTCGGACATTATCAATAATGGATTGGACTTAGGCCACTTTCAAAGTAATGTTTTTAATTATTGAAATAACTGTGAAAATTTATGTGTCAAAAATTATCATATACTCTGAATATACTTAACCGCAAAATGTTGTTTATGACAGCTAACTTCAACTTCTTGTACACGTTACTACAGTCAATAAAAAAAATTGACAAATGGACTCAGGCCACTTTTAAAATAAATTGCTCATATATATATATATATATATATATATACACACATACACGGCTAGAGTGAATCCTATAGTCTTATCTCGCGGCAGACGGTTCGAGAGAGAGCTGCTGCTGGTACGGTATTTCCAATTCGGTGCCGTAGTAGTAAGCCCGGTTGGAAGCGACGAAGCAATTGGCAATTCGCCTCAGCGGGACTTTCAGCACTTTCAATTCGCATGGGGAGCAAGCTCTGTTCGCTTCGCTCGCTCGCTCGCCGGCTGTATACGCGGTGGAAACGCGAGAGGACTCGAAGAGACGGACACTCCCCCGCATCGGGAGTCTGCATTCAGATGCGCCGTAACGATCACGATATCCAGGTGGACCGCCGCTTCTCCCGAGAACCCCGGGAATCACTGTTTCCCACGGCCTTTCGAATATATCGATCGTACAGAGGCACACGGAACATTTCGACGAACTCTCCGGAGATTTGTGCATACCTCTCTCTCTCTCTCTCTTTCTCTCTATTCCTGTCACTATCTTCCTCTTAGCATTTATTCCAGTCTCGGATCCTCTCTATCTCTCTTTCTTTCTCTCTCTCTTTCTCTCTTTCTCTCGGCCTGCCCAGATGTTGTTTCTTTCGCAGGAGTAATTTATCGGTTCAACGGCGGGAGTCGGCTTTTAACGTTCCTTTGAAAAATTTATCCGCAACCGCAAGAGACAAGAGCGCATGGTCCGTCACACGGATTTCTCTCGGATATATTTCGCATATTTATGAGGCAGCGACCGAGTGACCTACGGCGATTTCGATGAGAGTTCCGCTTGGTACCATCGCGGGACGAACCGAAAATGAGGGACGCGTAGCTTTTCATGATCACTCTCTTTCTCCCCCGTGTACGTTTAGGAATTGCGACAATCTCAGGTTGCACACCAGCGAGTGTCAGGTAATCGTCGCGCGTATTGAATCGCGCAAGCGAGAGGGAGAATTGGGCTCGAGCCAAGCGCGGGCGGGAAATTTAGCGGGTAGCATAATCCGCGTAATTAAAAGATAAAAGGATCAGAAAAGGTCGAGGAGTTCTGCTAGGATGAGATCTGCGGGCGCTAGTTTATTTGTATTGCGGCTCCCCTATCTAAACAGTCCGCGGGTCTTCGGCTCCCTCTTCTTCTCCCGCGAAGCGAAAGAATCCCGCGAGCCGGTCTCGAGTCAGTGGCCCGAAGGATCCAGCGAAGAGAAATATTTTCTCGCTTAATATTTACGACGTCCGCCAGCTTGACTTTCCCACCGGCCACTTAATCGCGCAAGCCACGACGTTCGCAAACGTCGACATCGAAAGATACGGTCGCGATATCGTGCGCCATTCTACGGTAAGTTACATTGAGAAATCCACTTAGTTGAACCAAACAAAGTTATTGTTAGCACGGAGGAAAATAATTTTGCTGGCAGCAGCAAATTGTTGGTTATTTTTAGAACAACAAAAAGATTTGTTACACGGGGAAAATAATTTTGTCGTAGCGAAACCGTCATCGTGACAGCGATAAAATTTTGTTAACATAGCTAATATTTTTCTGAATATCTATGTATCCAGCAAATGGCAATTAAGATGCTTAATAAAACTTCTCGCTGTCCAAACAAATCTTTTTGCTGTCCAAACAAATTTTTTTATTGTCCCTATAGTAAAATATATAGCATAAATATATAATCCCTATAGTAAATAATAATTTGTTGTGCCGGCACAATATTTTTCTCTGAATAAATATTTTGTTTATAAGAACCAAAGGTTTGCTTCTCTGAAATGAAAATGAAAAAGGTTTGGTTCAGAGAACCTAACCTGGTTGGTTTAGAGAACCGAACCTTTGATTTAGAGAATCACACTTTGGTTCTTATAATCAAACATATAAGGATCAAGATTTGATTTTGAAGCCAATTTTTCTCTGCAAAAACACCGAGGTGCTCTGATTGCTTCCGAATTTTGAGCAATGCGAGACGAAAGAGGTTTTTCACGGCGAACCACACGGAGAAATCCATTTAGTTGAATCGAGTAGAATTCTTGTTTGAATATCGACAGACGAATATGGACAGACGTTTTGGTTATAAGAACCAAAGTTCTCCGAATCAAATCTCTTCTCCGAACCAAACCGTTGATTCAAAGAAACATATTTTTGGTTCAAAGCCATAAAGTTAACTATAACGGTTTTGAACCGAAGATTTGTCTCTTTGAATCAACGGTTTGGTTTATAGGTTTGATTCAGAGAACTTTGGTTCTTTTAACCAAAACATTCGCCTGTCCATACCCAAACAAGAATTTTGCTCGATTCAACTAAATGGATTTCTCCGTATAGTTCCGTGAAAAACCTCTTTGGTCTCGCATCGCTCAAAATTCGGAAGCAATCAGAGCGCCTCGGTGTTTTTGCAGAGAAAAAAATCGGCTCCAATTTCGTCACGGAATTTTACTACGTAGGGCGCGCGCTCGCGCACAAGCGCGAATATTGGGCCACCGTGTGCAACTCTCAGGGAAAAAAATCACCCGCGATTGTAACTGTGCGTACTCGTCCGTACGTACGTACACGCACGTGTGTGCGTGTGCGCGCGATATAAAAAACGTAATATTTTGCGCGCGCGCGCGCGTGACCGTGGCTGCGCGCATGTGTACGTTCGTGTACGCGTAGCTTCAGTGAAATTCACAATTGCGGGCGTGGTTGAATTTCACGTGCTGACGGAATGGCGCGCACAAACGATGCCGCGCGTTATTCGGTGAAGGCATCGCTATTGACCGGATAAAAATCCAAGCTGAACAAACACACGGAGCACGCGATCTGCCGGCCCTCTCTCGCTCGTACGCTCGCTCGTTCGTTCGTTCGTTCGCTCGTAGGATCTACGCGCCGCTTACTTCTTGCATCGGATTAATCGGTGCGCTCTCGCTCTTTTTTTCGCCCCCGTTTTTCGCCGCACGCGCGCGTATTGTTGCGCGCATGAAATAGCGAGGATCCGTCATGGGGCTCCTCCACTGTTGCGTCTGATAAAAATCGTTTCACCGTGAATAGAAGGATCCGCCGCAGTGATACGGCCACCGTTCCTCTGGTTTTCACCTCGTATCCCCTCCCCCTCCCCATCTCTCTGTCTCTTTCTCCGTTCTCCGGTATTTCGCTCGGAATATCCGAACCATGGGAATCGCCGCAAATTCCGAAAATATCGTGGTTACCTGTTATTGACGCGGAACGAAGTCACGCGTCGACGTGGTATCGCCGCAGCGTGGCCTAGCCGAGAGTCGAGAGCCGGTGAAGGTGTCATAAAGCCACTGAAAAAGCTTTTTGCGTTATCCGCTTCGAAGGGGCTTCAATCTGGATTTATAATGCTTATCAACGCGCCGCGTATCGCGACATCAAAATCCGCGGATTCCGATGGATGGAACAGTGCGCGCGCGCGCGCGCAACCGCCGCACGGCGAAGCGCTCGTATTCATGATATAAAAGTTTCTATTTGAACGTCACATTTCGATGACGACGACGACGACGTTAACGACGACCCTCCCTTGATATACGCGCCATTGAGAACGCGGCGAGTAATTAGCCCTCGAATCTCCCTTTCTCTCTTTCTCTCTCCCCTTCTGATATCATCCGCTTCGCCAAAAGCACGCGTCATATTCTCATTCTCCAACAAGTCTCCCGCCAACTTCCGCGTCTCCAGGCGGACTAACTCGATTCACTCGTTAACTCGTCGTACGCTCGCAGTTAAATTTACCACACCGTGTTTCACTCGAGCTGCAACTTTAGGCTCCGCCGTCGAGAGAGAAAGAGAGAGGAAGATAGAGAGGTCTTCGAGCGGGGGACTTACTGCCGCATAGTAAACCGCGGGAAGGTTGATAGAAAAAATGGGCAGGAAAGGAGCCGCCGATTTAGGATCGATCGATCGATCGACAGGTCATCGTTCCGCTCCGCTCATTCGCAGGACGAACGTTCCGTCCGACGAGAAACTTTCTCGCGGTGAAACCCAACTCTCCAGCGTTCGCGTGCGCATTCTTCAGCATCTCGTCCCTCGCTCGTCGCCTTCTCCCTCCTCCTCCGCTCTCTGCCACCCCCTCACCCGTGACCCTACTCCTCTCTCCCTCTCGTTCTCCCTTGATATCTCTCTTTCTCATTTCTCGCTATGCGCTTCCACACGCCGCTTCCACTTTGCCTCTTATCGACTTCCGCCTTCCTTCCTAACCTAAGGACTCGCCCGGCCATTTCTCTCGCGAGCAGGCAACACCACCGTCGCCCGATGGCGGTCGAGGGACGTCGGAGGTTCGGAGGACCGGAGAGAAAAGAGATAGCCGGAAAAGCGAGTTCGTTCTCGTGACTAATTGAGCTATCGGTTCGCCGGCGCGAGAGATACGACGCGGGTCGACGATTCAGGAGTACGGGATGTCTCCTGCGCGAGTCAACCGGTTGTTCGGCCCCCTTTCTCCCCCCGCGTCCTCGTGTTTTCGCTCGCTCGGGTCACGAGCACTTTACCGTAGCGACCGGACCGAACAAGTGCCGGCCATTTCGCTGTCTCCATAAACGTACCTTCCCGTTGCCGGTTAGCTTGCTTAGCTATCCTTAGGAAGACCGTAAGGAGTGCCGGCGAATTCCTCCGCCTCTTTATTCTCTCCGTTACTTCCCCTCAGCCACTCTCCTTTCTTCCTCCCCTCGTCCCTCTTTCTGCTTGATCTTAATTTCACCGAGACCATTTCCCAACCGCAGCTCGCTGTACTTTGGCTTCTCGCGCTGGCAACGGAGTGAGAATAACGGCGAAACGTACGTTCCACTTTACAGTGCCTGTAAAGATTTCGCGTTCCGTATACAGATATATATATATATATATATACGTTCGGCCGTTTGCGAGAGCCGTGGCGAAAGTACAGACGATAACCAGGTCTGGAGCGGCCGTTGCGACGTTAATGACAGATAACGAGAGGGAACGGCTAAAGCGATTACACGTAGATCGTCGTACGCGCCGGTGCATCGGGAAATGTCAATTCCTGTCGGGGAAACTCCGGCAACTCGAGCGATTCTCTGCGATGTCTCCGGCGTCGTCGCCCAAGTTTTCGTTATGAGTCTCGCGGCCGCGAAACAACGCTTTACGGCGGTCGGGTCGCTCGATCGGGACGTCCTTTATCGCGGCGATTACGGCTTCTCCCTTTTTCTTGGCGCGGTTCTTTCCTCGGGAGAGAGCTATCCAGCGTCGCGTCGAAACTCGGGGCAAACATCCGATCGACAGGTGACCCGGCAGCGTCAACAGCAACGGCGGTCAAGTGTCAGTCGAGAGCGCGAGGGGAAAATAAATATCTCGAATTACCGCGCGGCGGAATTAACAGGGCGCGTTGAAAACAGGGTTCGTTGTAATTTATCGTTAGTTTCTATTCCCGCGATTCCCGCTTCCCGCCGGGGTCGTGCATCGTTACCGACCTGTCAGCCAGTTACAGCTCCCGATCGAGCCACTCGGCTGCAAGAATACCGAAAGGGCCGTGCTAATTTGTCTCTGTGAGAAGCTCCCTTTGATTAGCCCGCGCCTGTGATCGAACAGCGTAAAGCTTTCCCGCTAATTTGACACTTTCGATGCGCGATCCAATAATGAGGGATATTGGGCGACGGTGTTTCCCGGGCCGCCCGAGCGCTATCATCGCGACATCGTGATTAATCCCACTGTGAGAAGTGCCGACGCCGCCATAAGACGATTATCATTGTTGACAATAAGGAATCGATTAATCAATCCGCTAATTATCCGCCGCGTTCTCTCAATCGTTAACCCGCTCGCGACATTCGGCGGAGGTAATTATCTGTTCGATGTCGCATTACGGCCGTATACGTCTTTAACCTCCTTTAACCCCCCTCATCCTTCCGGGTTTTTTCATATATATCGTAAGAGTACGAGAAATGCGAGACATTGGATACGCCGGGGAGGGAACGACCGAACGAGAAGTATTCGGAGGGAAATGTAATATCTGAGGAGACGTTTGCGAGATTTCTCTTAAAGAGACGCGGTTTTTCTGCTTCCGTTCGTCTAATTTGCCGCGCGGCTATCAATCGATTCGATATGTGCATGCGAAAGCGGCTTACGTGTATGAACTCAACGAGAGAGTGAGAAGAAAAGAAAAAGAGACAGATACAGAGAGAGGGAGGAGGGGGGGGGGGAGGAGGGAATGGAGAGAGAAGCAAATTACGACAAGCGTAATAATCCATCGTGCTTCCCAAATCTCGATGTGTAAGCATTTTTCATCCTTGATCGTACTCTACCGGATCAGTGTACCGAATATTAACTGTATTAACGTATTGAAAGGGATTAAGGACCACACGCTGATTCAACTTGGTAACCAGGGCGTAGGAATGCGCGTGTAAATACGAATTCTCCAAGTTGCCGTTGCTATCCGACATCGTTTTGTACAAATATGCGTGAAAGCATTGTAGAATTGTCGAATTATGACACGTCCGCGCGGAAGCACGCTGTACAAAGTAACATTGGATATCGCCATCCATACGCTCGATTCGTCCAGAATCCTGTGCAAAAAAGAGGACGGGAGAAAGGGAATTTTAACGCGCACGCGCGATCGAACGATACAAAATTTCCTGCTCGAAATAGCGAACACGCCGTTAAGGTAACTGTAAGTTCGATATCGCTCAGGTAATGCAGCGAGAGCGCGTCAACATGCATCTCTGTTCGGCATTGCGTCCCGTGTGAC